AATGTTTTTAAAAATACACATTCCTGGACACACGAATTATGTTAGAGCAATTAACAATTGATGTCGCCGAATGGGACCAACTATTTTTTAGGAATTTTAATTAGGTCATTCTTAACCTATTTAAATTTGATCTTTATTTTACGTGTTCTTTTTATTGGTGGGGCCGAGCTAGCAAAAATAAAGAGAGTATAACGTCAAGTTGCAAAATGTTTCCTGGGAGGGAGTTCAGTAAGAGCGAGGCTGTAGGCACAAAATCGTCTTTATCAATAAACGTTTTACTAATAAACAATGATTATCCTTTAGGGAGATAAGCATTATTGACATTTTGGTTAAAGACTGGCTGGAGCTGACTACAGAGGTCCAATTCTGCTCAGTTCATATAGTCTAACCTTGGATAGTTCTTAACTCTTATCAAGTTTATAACATGTTGTGGGGATCCAGTCATACCTATAGGTTATTAGTGAAGTTAAATGAGTAATGATGTAATACTTAGAATAATCCTGGCCCATAGTATCACTTGTAGTGTTATGTTTAGTTTTATATGGAAATAACATATTATCTACTAGAATTTTGGTTACTAGTATTGTTAGGGAGATCTACTAGCCCACTTCTTAGTTACTTAATAGAAACTTTGGTTTTTGGGCGGGTTTTTTGTTTCTTTTTGTGGCTTCCCATTTTTAGAGTAACTAAAACATTTGTTCAGATCATTGGGAATAATCGTCTGGAAGACATAATTTTATTTTTTAAAAAAAAACCTATTCGTATATTTGTTATACGATTTTTATTGAATTGTTTTTCACCTCACTGCTGGACAGAAAAATATAATAGAAAATTAATAAATAATTAATGAAAAAAGAAGAAAAAGATTATCTAAGGTATAGTATAACGAATAATATCAACTATTGTGATCAGATATTATATTATTTTTTTTAAAAATTTAATTTTCCACCCTAAAATTTATAATTTTATTTTTTGGTTAAAATTTATTTATTTATTTTTTTTTTCATTCTGGAAAGCACTTTGTACAGATATTTGAGTACTAGTTTAACACTGTGGCTGGTAA